GAATCACACACACACACACACACACACACACACACACACACACACACACACACACACACACACACACACACACACACAGGCTTCATAATTCATAAAGGGCTTCATAATTCTAACAAAACTACAGAAATGACAAAAATAATAAAGGGGGTGATTTTGTTTTTTCAAGTCTTAAAGTAAGCGATAGAAAGGAAAGCAACATTTTTGACAGATAGTCAGGACATAAAGGGAAGAAGCAGAAAAAGAACTGTCCAATAGAGGAAACAATTTGCTGCTGTGCAGAGAAAAAGTGCAGCATGTGATAGAGGGTCTTACTCAGCATGTAGCTGGAACCATTTGGGGTTAAACTGCGTTTGACAGAACAAACTGTCTCAAAGGGGCCAACACAACCTGCCATTACCACCAGAGGGGGGCAACAAAGCCTGAGGAGAAAATTGGGTGAGAACAGCAACACACAAACACAGTGAATGAACAGGTGCAAGTGCGCCTAAAAGACACACACCGGCGTCTTTGTATGGGTCACTTGCCATGCACGGAGACATGCACACACTGCAGGGAGACAGAGGCAGGTTCATATCTGTGCTGCGCTCCCAGCACGCGGGGCTGGCTCACTCCAATCCATCTTTATTCAGTTATGGTAATGCTGTGCCATGGAGGTACAGATATTAAGGTGTCTAAGAAGAGCTTTCACAGAGGCAGAGAACTGTCAGATGGGGATGTTACTGTAGATTGGGGATTTCTGAGACTTTGTCAGCGATGCTTTTTGCTCTCTGTGTGTCCAGGAGTTACCATTCTATTCTATAGTGTACACTGTCCAACTGATGCCTGTAAGGTAGTGCCACTGTCTCACAAAAAAAGGGTTTGAGTCCCATCTGGCCTTTCTATGTGAAGTTTGCATGTGCTGTCTGTGTATGCATGGCACTCTGGCTTTCTCCCACCTACCAAAAACAGGGTGATGAGCCACAGCCTGGAGATAAATGAGGTATGTACTTGTGTACTGACTGACATAACTCTTTAACCCATATACAAACGCTGTTACGCTGTTATTACCAAACAGATTCACAAACGTGCAAAGTCACACTGAAAATAACAGACGGCGGGTACAGGCAGCAGGCGGAGGGAAAAGAGAAGAGAAGAGAGGGGAGTCATGGAAAGGTAAGCGGATGTGACATGATTTACAATGATATCATTAACCTTGAGAAACGGAGCGGCCTCTCTGACACAAACACCATTTCTCAGACGGACACCTTCCAAGAACTCCTCACACACACAGACACAATAGATTCTTGATTGCTCAGAAAAACACATTAAGCAAGCGTGCACGGAATAGAGAGTTTTCTTAAAAGAGCACCCTTTTGGGAACCTTTCAAGATCGCTGTAAGCAGAAAATTGAGCCTCTTGTGGGGCTTGCCACCGGTAAAAAGTAGGTGTGGTCCTAATTGTGTGGGACAGTCCAAAGTGTGAGCAGAGAGCACACAGCCGACACCAAGCAGAGAGGACCATGTGTGTTAACTGTTAGCCTACAGTAAACCCACAGAGCTAGATAAGGGTGCCCAACCATGGAATCTTATCTGCTACAATTTGTGTCACCCGAAGTAAAGTTCTGCTTGATCGGCAGTCAAAATGTCACCAACCTTGACTGTGCCCCAACTGGGCTCAATTGTGAGGGGCCCACGTGTATACCACATTGAGCTCCTATGCAATGTGCCAATACTACATAGAAAGGGCTTAAATAAGGGAGTTTCTGGTTTCCAAAAAGTGATCTAATTGTATAATCTATATATAAGATAGTATATTTGTTGTTATATGTGCCATAAAACATGAGAATACTTTCAATAAAAAGAGATATTTTACCTAAAGATCCGCAGTGTTAAAAATGTAATGCTAAATTAATTGCAATATTAACAATGTACTTTTATCTGATGCAAGGTGATTCTTAATTTAAAATTATGTCAAGATAGTTTTCTCATTATCATTCATGTTTTTTGGGGGGAAATCCCACTGTAACATCTTTAAGGGCTAATATAAATTTGGTCATTCAAAGTGTCATATGTGAGGAGCAGAATTTATTAGTTTATTCTCAAATTTACAGGGAGTTATTTAAAAGAAAATACGGCATATAAACTCTCCCACTAGTCATCAGAACTCCGGTGGCAGCATTTTGGATCAGCTGAATGCTTTTGAAGGGACTTTAAAGTGTTCTAATCTAAACATAACAAATGCACACATCGGCTTTCCTAGATCGTAAAGTAGAATATCCTAACTTTGGAATTATAAGAATAAGTATGGCTGGGTCTCCTCATAGAATAGAAAGGGGAATTTATGCGACACTGTCAGAATAATGCCTCATGAAAGCATGTAAAAAAAGTGAAAAGGTCCAAGCATTGAACCCTGATGAACTCCATGATTTACTGTGGTGAACGAGGGACTTCTTCATTTAATGAAAAAACTGGAATCTTTTGTATTAATATGCCTAAAACCCCCCTGACACAGCTCCTTTTATCAAAATGAGATACTTAAGCCCACAGTGTGGTGACTGATTGCATCCAAGGCAGCACTGAGATCCTGAAGGCCAAACAGAAAAGGCCAAGAGGAGAAGGTGACAATTATGTACTCTGAAAACTGACTGTAAATTATAACAAGCCACAACATTTTCTCAAGTATTTTAAATATGTGAATATATGAAGGGAGTTAGAATTTGGATTGATAATTATTCAAAACTAATGGATCAAGAGTAATTGGATCTGAAATGTTCCATAACAGCAACCGTATGTCAATAAATGTCGATTGGTCAAATCCAATATGGACATTTCTGACTTTACCAGAGTGATGCAATGATAGATTTTAACAGCAAAGGCATGCTGCGAATGGGAAAAAATGCAGGGATAAGAATCACAAACAATTTATTTCAAATTCCCACGGCTGATAGAAACTGATTTATCACACAATTGCTATTTCTTAAATAATGATAACCAATCCTTGCTGTAATAAATATTTAGTTTGTAAATGATACTTTCATAAAAACATTTTGAACAGTCATTCACAAGTAAAGTCAGAGTTCAAGCTTGCCTCTGGCAACCCCAGCAATACATCTCTAAAATCACACAACAGAAGGAAAAGAAACTATTCATCAACTGGCATCAAGGCTCATGGAAGAAGAGACCAACAAAATCCCTTTAAAAGTGCATTTTACAGTCATTTTGCAGTGTGTTCAAATAAAAAATCCCACTGAACAATAGTAAGATGGATAAATATACCAGGGTATTTGGCAAAATATAATGGTTTTTAGATTTGCATAAAACCGATATCCAATATTTTTAAATGTTTTTCTTGTCAGTTTAAGTCACAATATAAAATGGATTTCAAATTATAGAAGAAACGCAAATGTTCTATTCAAAAGCAGCATCTTTTCAAGTCAGCATTACAACTGTTTTTTAACAGTCATCACTTGAATATGAGGGCTACAGAGAAACTTCAGATACAAAACACTCTAAATTTGTAACTTACATTATTTGAAAGCTGATATTTTCACATTTCACGCCTTACATTTTAGAATAGATGTCCACACCTCAGAACTATAATAAGCAACAGCAGATTTATCCATTTTACAGCTGCAAACATTGCCTAAGAAACATTAGGATCTTTCCTGTATTTATGGCAAACCTTTCATGTGGGGTGGTTCGAGCTCAGCTCCATTAAAAAAAGAGTAAAGCCTTGAAACTTGTTGATTCATGTGAATTTTCCTGTATCTGCAGTCACAGAAAACAGTTAGAAAGAGACCCCTTTTATCCTCAAAATGTAACAGTCAAATAGAGTATGTTTAAGTAAATCCTGGAATTAAAACTTTTGATTTTCCACTTATGTTTCATCATGACTGCAATGCAGCAAATCCATCTCTTGTAATTACTGACCGCTCAAAGGCAACACTTACTAAGATATGTCAAATGAGCAGGAATTTCAGCAGATTAGAGGTTTTGGACATTAATAAACAATCTAAGCACAACTTAAATGCATATTAATACACAACTCACTAAATCTTTTTTCATAGTGGCTTTAAGCTACAAAAAAAATAATCATTAAAAAATCTAACGATTTTGTTAAATCCTTCTATTTGTCAGTTTCAAGCATCAAACATTATTACTGAGAAAATATATGGTTAAGATTTAATCTCCATTCCCAAATTTAAGTCTGGTACCTATGATTCTGAGTTTATCAAGTTCTTTTTCAAATAAGTTTAACTGGGTTTTTGATTGAGGAGTGAGATGTCTGAAATCCGTAAATCCTACATTTAAAAGTAGCTTTTCCAAAAAGCAGTGCATGCTAACATTCAGCAGAGTAACGCTACTCACTGTTACTGTTGTTTTCAACCTGTTCTGCTTTGATCAGCATTCGTCCATGGTTTAGTACCTCACCAGGAAAGCTGAGGGAGACATTTATAAAATGCCACAACCTTTGACTGAGGCTGCTGTGCAGAACAACCAGACCTTTTTGACTCAAAATGATGCACATAAACGTAAACATCTTGACACAGAAGTCGGCGCTCCTTTTCCTCCATTTACTGAAGGTCAGTTCCATCATAGGCCACAGGCTTGTCTAGACTCAGATGATACAGCACTTTCTTTGAAATGAACCTAATTAAAAAAGGACAGACAGAGAATTCTTTATGGTTCTGGTCAAAGCAAAAACAGCCATTTGTGCAGAGGGAGAGAACACAGTTTCTGACCTGGAGAAAGAGTTGTCAAAGATGAGAGTGTATTCTCCGACATGTCTGACTTTCAGTTCCCCCTGAATTGTCTCCTTATGGGAGTTACAGCGAGTCAGAGGGATCAAAACCTGTCAAAAGAAAGTACAGATATCCCTGTTACAATTCGGAGAAATATACATCGGACAATATTTAAAAAAAACAAAAAAAACTAATGACACAGAAACTCCTGAATCATTTGTTGTAGTGTTTGTGTCCTAATGTGAGTCCTATAATGTAGCTACATAAGTAAGAAAAATCTACAATTCAAGAAATGTTAACTGAAAAAAATATTCCTGCATTTAAACAAAATCATCCATTACCCGAATGTGTGAGAGGTAAGACAGCGTGCTCATAGTGGTGATATAGGTATTATTACTATCGTTATTAGACATAGATTATCATTTGTAGGAGACACTTGGATGCTTGAATCCTTATATAGTTTCAGTTCATTCTGTGCTCACCAGTGAAGTTGTTTGGTGATATTTAAAAAGTGAGATACAACTCCTTAAAGGAGCAAGAGTTTAGCTTGGTTCAACTGCAGTGGCTCTAAATCAGGTCAGAATTGAATATCAAAACCATATCTGACTATGCTAGGAGATGGCTCGCACCTTGGCCTGCTCCAGTGGAGTTTCTGCACTCTCCCGGTAGACTACGCTGAAGGCGATGCTCTTTGGTTCGGAGGTAAAGGTCCAGAAGACAGTAGGACCAGGGGCGCTCATGGTGATGGGGATGACGCTGTAACAGCTGGATTTGATGAAAAGTTCTCGAGAGCTGTCCCCAAACCCTGTGATATCATCCACTGTGAAGCCAACAGAGAGCCTACGGCAGAGGGGGGGAAAAAACAAGGAAGGTTTACAACACTTAAGAACTGAATTGTTAATTTACTCTTAGTTCTATTTAAAGTTATTTGAAAAGGAAAATAACATTATTATATACTATTTCCCTTTAAATTACATATATTCTTTAAAAACGTATTTAATCCATAGACATGACAGAAAGATTAAAAGTGCATTGAACCAAATTCTTAATGACCAATGAGCTGATATAGATACTAGTTGTTTTAAATATAAATTGGACAACGAACCAAATGTAACTCAAACTAGGCCAGAATTGTAAAATTCATCCAAATAATAAATGTTCTGCAGTACAGTCCAAACTTTGTAAAAATAAAAACTTCATTTTTGTTTGCTGCAAACACCCACATGTGTGCAGGTGCAGATTGAAAATTAACTTAGATGGTCTGAAAGCTCACCTTTCCTCTTTCCAACTGATGTGTCATTCATTTTAAGTAACAAATGATAACTCTTTATGCCCTATACCCATAAACGCATCTCACAAAGGGTGCAGCTCAAAAACAGCCCCACCAGTCAGAAATTATAGCCCGGATCGCTAACATTTATTTCAGTTTTTGTGAAAGGGTTCATCTTGTTGCTGGGCAACTCTGCGATGAGGCAGATGGTTTCTGACATAAGACCTCAAAGCCTCTTTTACTAAACAAACAAACCTGCTTCAACTTCCCGAGAGAAGTGAGACATGGCAGCTGCAGGAGGCACAAACAAACTTTCACACACCCACTAGTTTCAGCTTTCACTTCCCATCTCAGGATTATCAACAAGCCTTTACCACAAAATCTGTGGAGAAACTTCCTCATCCAGGCGAACATGTGGCTTTGTAAAGATTTTTTTCCCCCGGAATTTTCACCGCAAATGAAACTTACGTGACTTCACCGGACTTCAGCAGGCAGATCTCTGCATCCTGCACGGCTGCGCTGAGGTTATCAGCATCCTCTGACGCGATCTCTCGGGCACTGTTGTTGCTACACGGACAGTAAAATTTTTGCACATTAATACAAAACTATTGCAAATTGATGAAATGTGTTTACAGTGTACTTTATGCACTGGATGAAAACTGAAGACTGTTTCTCAGTATTTGGTGTCAAAAATACCCTCTGTAACAGAGCCAAGATCAGACAAGTGACTATAAGACTAATCTGATCACAATAGGAACAAAGATGTAAAACCAGCTAAAAAGGATGCCTATTTTCTTCTGGAGCATGACACGTCTGTGGCTGTCAAAATCAACTACATGCAACGAATTTAGCAAAACCACCTTCAATAAAAAACAGCTTTAGAAATGTCAAGAAATGTTAAGAAAGGAAAAAAAAAGGAAAAAAAGAAATGTATTTGCCGTTTCCAATAGGCCAAGATCTTCGTGCAAATTTCAGTCTTTATGTCTGTTTTTATTTTGTTGTTGTTTTAAACAACAGTCTTAAAGTTTAGGTGAAGGTCACACACATACATACATTTAAGGCATGTAGGCATATATGCAGATTATTGTTGGTCAGACAGTGTGGGTGGATGTAGGTATAAAAAAAGAGAGGGAGAAAAAAAACACGTATGCATCTTTAACGCCAAATACTAAAACAAATGTATGTTCATGAGTGTTACCAGTACATGTAATTCATGTAAAACAATGCCGAACACAAAAGTGTAATAAAAATCTTATTTAGTCTTTATGGCAGATTTCTGCCTGAAAATAAGCAGTTTCACAGGAAACAAGTGACTAAAAAAAATCTATTCTGGTGGGTGGTATAAATCTGCCATGTTGTGTCTCATCACCCCTGTTGTTGAGCCGTTTTTGTCATCATCTGACAGAGTGAGATACTCACAGCCGTGCTGCCCCCTGCTGTCCGTGCCCAGGAGAGCAGGCGGTGGCAAACGAATGGGAGTCGCTGTCATTCACCCCGCTCACTTCCTCTTCTGTGATGATGTCGAAAACGCCATCGTCCAGCTTTTCACCATCGTATCCTGAGAGAAAATAGAAATGATGCAAATTTTTTTTTTTAAATCTTCGTCAAACGTATGAACAGCCTCTATCATATTGCAGCATGCGTGTGAGGACGTGAGAACATGTGTTGCCGGCAGCACCTGCCACGGCGCGGCCGGCCTGCAGCAGGCGGCTGAACGGCGTCCCCGGCGTGCTGTGAGTCACTTCGTCCTGCGGGTGGCGCTCAGTTACTGCGCTGTGCTGGTCGTAACAGTTCGCACAGCAGCGCTCTCTGTTGCTGCCTTGCAGGGTGCTCACTGTGTTACTGCAGCAGTAGTAGCAGAAGGGACGCCCACAGAGTCTGGACAAAGACAACGTTTGATGGAGATGAAGTGTCAGTAAAATATTTTGTTGGTTTGAAATGTAGCGTTGAAATGGTGTGTGTTTATGTAAGACCTCCAAGAAACTCATCGGCAATCTCAAGACAAGCTTCAAGAGTCTCTGTTCCGGCTGTACTGTTAGCATTAAACTTTATGTTTAGAAGTGTATTAATTTAGTCACATTGCCTTTCCCAAATCTAAATTGGGATGCCAGCTGGCAAAGCAAATGGCCTTATGTGCTATGTGAAGCTGGGGTAACCTTTTGCATCCTTGATTGTATACAGGATGGTTCAATAAAAATAGAAATGGATTTATGGATAAAGGACATCATTTGAAAGAAGGACAACATTAGATCATGGCATGCTTTTTGTTTTTGTTACTTATATCTGTCCTGCAGTAGTACAGGGACAGTAGATGTGGACACACCTGAATTACAAAAGAGGATATCGGCCTTTACAGATACCTTTCATGAGTTTAAATGAGAAGTGAAATACAGAAGAAAATGTCAGAGGACTTAAGCGAGGAGGTGCACTTTCATATGGGTCTGTCTTTTCCTCTGTACATCAGTCAAGGCAACAATGCTCAGGAACCCATTTACTTTTAACTGAAGTTTTGCTTGACGCAGGACAAACTGCAGTGTGCAAATTGATCCAACGAAAGCAAATCTTTAGCAAAAGAGTTGCTTTTGCAACCAAGTGTTTGCATGAAAGGAAACTGTAGTGCTTGTCTAATTGATATGTGCTTTTGTTCATCATGCAAAGGAGCTCCTAACCTGCAGTTGTATTTGCGCAGCCACCAGCTGAACTGAGTGTGACAGCCCAGGCAGTAGTTCACGTCCCTCTCTGTCTCCTCATCACGCAGTTTTTGCTCAAACTCCAGGGCATCGGATTTCTGCCAAAGTGCATCTTTCTCCCTGCACAAAGCACATTTAAAAGCATAATGTGTACCTCTCATAACACAGATGCACAATACCTCATTGTACATAACCTATGAAGAGCTTTTGAGCAGGGCAACAGCACATGAACATTCTGCTAAGCAGGCACACTGATCAAGAATCAATCAAACTCAACAACAAAGGGACGCAAATGACAATGTGACAAAAACTGCGGAGATTTAAAAGATACCTGATGAGCTCGACAAGCCTTTCCTCCAAATTGATTTTGGTTCGGTACAGATCATCGAGTTCAGCAGCAGTCCGGAGATCAACGCTCTGCTTGTCCTGTGTGACCCTCCGAAGATTTTCTGCCATCTCCTGACAGGCCCGCTGTGCTGCTGCTAAACCGTCCTCGCAGCTGCAAACATGATGTAAAAAGTTTAAACCGTAGTGTGTTTTACTAAGAAGAGGCACCTCAGATGGTTATAATTAACATCGAAAGCTTGTTCTTAAAATTATCATTGAAAAAAACAAGACCATGTTGCCAAAGTCATACATAAAGCTGAATTAAAACTAAAAAGACGTTTCCTTCCAGAGCTTTAATTTGTTCCAGAAAGTGTGATCATGAATACTGTAGCTCACCTTGATAAATTCTGTTTCAGATGGATTATCTCATCTTCTTTCTGCAGGATGAGATTTGCTGATTCGGCCATCTGGATGTTTTTCTCCTCAATCTGTTGGCAATATCTCCGAATCGTAGCCTGCAATCAGTACAGCAAAGCAAGACATCATTTGTAGTTCTTTTTGCGAGTTACGCATACGACCATGACATTAAGATTTGTCCCTGTAAAGATTCAACACAATGCAACTGGAATGTGTGTTTTCATTTCACAACCTCAGATGTGAAACTGAAAAAGAGTCGAACAAGCTGTGCACATTGTCAGGGGGTCATCTTCCATTCTGTCTAAAATGTGCTCAAAGATGTGTCTCAAAATAAGCCTCAAGTTTACTCATAATGTATATTATGTTGTAGATTTATTTAAATGTTGCAGCTGCCATGAACATGCAAGCCTTTTTACTTTTTAATTCTAGGTGATTCACTCACCTCTAGATGCTCGACTTTGCTCTCAAGGCTGATCACTTTCTCCTGCTCAGTCACCAGCTGTGTCTTCATATCCTGTAGCTCCTGATTCACATTCTGAACAACAGCACCAATCATAAATTAATACAAAGTCACATGTAAGTCATCACTGATAACTTATACTTTTTTCACACTTTGAGTCTGAGGAACACTGGCACTGTATTGAGAAGCTTTAGGGTTAAAACCTGGTTCATCTAACAGTGTTCATCTAAAAGAGACAAAATAAATAAATGGAGGGGAAATAAATTGAAAGAATAAAACCAATTTGACCAAAGACCGACAACAGAAGAGTACTGAATGTGCCTAAATAGGCAAAAGAAATATAATAAAAAATCGGCTAAAAAAAATATAAATATATATAAATATGTCTCCTCAGAGACACTTTCCTTATAAAGATGTTAAGGTAAAAGCCAAAGAGTTCAAATGGTAACTTTACTATTCACAGCCATATTCTGTTTGAAAGGAGGTTCGGTTTCTGGTGTAAATGGCCAACATGATGTATCCCAGTAAAACTGAACTCCTACAGTCGAGGCTCAGGGTGGATCCTCAAGTTATCTAAATAGCCACTATTCATGCTTCATAGAATAGCCAAAGGCGAGAACATTTGTTTTTTGCTGACTTTTGCTTTTTGTGTGTTTTTGGTGTCGAAGCTTCTATTTTCGCAGCGCTTATAGGCAATTATGTGAAGATTTGACCAATCTCAAGTCAATGTCCTACGCGATTATATTTGAAACTGCACAAATTATTGTTTACATATTCAAAAAAAAAGGGGCTGCTTCAGAAAAGCAAGGATATGTTATAGATCAAACCTTACAAATGACACCATGCAATGCTGAAGGACTCATGTCTGACCTGGAGCTGGTCTCCGTGGCTCGTGGCATGGCTGCTGAGCTGACATTGGAGAGCCTGGATCTCCTCCCGGCTCGTTTGCTGCACAGCCTCGGCTTCATGTTGGGCCTTGCTCAGCTCTGCCTGAAGTACCTGCTTGGACTTCATCAGGTCTTCATCGTTATGAAGCTGCCTGAGCAGCTCCTGGTTCTCCTGACACAGCTGCTCTATGCAGGAGTTCAGCCTCTCTGCCTCCTGACTGGCCTCCTCCTCCAGCTCCTGCAGTCTTTTGGACTGAGCCTCCCAGCGCAGACGAGCCTCCTCGTTCTCAGCAGTCAGCATGCAAACGTGCACGCCCAGCTCTGCAGTCTCCGTGTTGGCTCGGTGAAGGGCTTCTCGCGATTCGCTGTTTTCCAGACGCACGGCTTCATAGTGCAGCTTCAGCTTATCGAGCTCCTCTCTTGTGGTTGTCACCTCCGCAGCCAGGCTTACACGAGCCAGCGCCTCGCCATCGCGCTCCCTGATGAGAGACTCCTCGCGCTCCCGAGACCTAAGAATCTCTTCCACGTGCCGGCGGTTTAGCTCCTCCACCTGAACCTTCAGCTGATCCGCTAGTACACGGAGGTCTTCTCTGGAGGCGTCCGTCACCTCGTGAAGAGCTTGAATTTTCAGTCTCTCCTCGGTTCCTGTTAAGAGCTCAGCGCGGAGCTCCACCAGCTCTTCTCGGAGCCTGCTTACCTCCCTCAGGTTGAGTTCCAGCTGAGCCTCAGCTAGAACCAGCCTGAACGGGGTCTCTTTGGTCTCCATTGAGGAGGTTTGATGCTCGTCATGAAGCTTCTGCATTTTTTCATTGCTCTCTGCGGCTCCTTTTTCATAGTGAAGCTCGCCAGTCCGGCGTTCCAGCTCGTCCACTCGGGCCTGCAGGAGGTCACCTTTCACAGTCTGCTCTCTCAACTTAGATTCACTCTCCTGCAGTTTGTCAAGTACCTCTGCTTGGCCTCTTTGTGATGCAGTGAGGTTCTTCTCAAGCTTTTCAGCTTTGGCAGACAGTGAATCTATAGTCCGTTCACTTGTGGCTAATTGATTTTTTAGTGAGGATTGAGTATCTAGAAGTTCCTTGTTCTCATGCTCCAGCTTCTTGATCTGAGCATCTGTTTCCTCCTTCTGGACAATCACCCTTTGGAAACTCTCTTCAAGGTGCAGGTTTTCATCCAAAAGCTTCTTCTCTCTGTCTTCCACACTCATCCGTGCAGCTTCTACTCTAGCCTTTAGATGCTTCTCAGAGGCCTTAAAAGCAGCCAGCTGGTCCAACAGGGCAGTCCTGCTTTCAGACAACTCTGAGACGCTTGCCTCACTTTTTTTAAGTGTTTGGAGAAGCTTTGTGTTCATTTCCATGAGACTCCAGCATTGGGTTTTGTAACCTTCAATATTTGCAGTTTCCTCGCTGTTGGTTACATCGTTGCCATCAAGTCGACAGCATAGAGTTCCTTGCTCGACACTGAGCTTCTCCAGCTGCTCCTCAAAATGCTTAATTCTTTCTGAACTAGCAGCTAGCTCTTTATCTCTGTTTTTAAGAGTATTTCTCAAATCAAACACCTGGTCCTCAAACTCTTCACTCGGGCTACTTGTCATACCACATCTCTGTTCTTCCGCCTTTCTCTCCTCCTGCAGGCGTTTCCTCAGCTCCTCTGCTTGTCGTTCCCTGCACTCCAGAGAGGCTTGCAGATCCTGAAGCTGAGCTCTCAAATTTCCCGTCTCCTTCTCTTTTAAAGTGAGTGCTCCTTGAATTCGACTGACCACACTTTGGAGCTCCTCCAGCCGTTCAAGCGCCTCCTCCCGTTCCTCATGGGCTCCAGCTTTAAATTCAGCTAGCTTCTCCTCACTGTTCCTCAACTCCTCCTCCCTGAGTTTTAATTCTCTTGAAAGGCGCTCAAAGTGCCTGGCCCTGTCCTCGGATTCTCTCTTTGCCTCCAACTTCTCCTCTTCAGCAGTCTTAAGATTTTCCAGGAGCTCGTGAATTTTCCAGGCTGAGTCACAGTAACCTGCTGTTTGTTGTCCCTTTTCTTTGAGAGCCTCATCTAATTTTGAGAGAAGCTCCATACTTCTGCTGTCAGCAGCCGTGAGTCTGTCTTGTGAATCAGAAACAGCCGGTTCCCTGAAGCTTTGATGGTGATTTACTCTGTCCTCATTACCCGTTTCTTGGCCGCCTTGGGCAGCTGCTGAAATGTCAGACTTCTGAGCTGATAACTGGTGTTGAAGGTCTTTGATAACCTCTTTTAGCTCAGCACCCTCTTTTCCCAGCTGCTGAATCTGTGCCAGTAGCTCCTGCTGTCTGAGCTCGGACTGGTCAAGCTCGATGCGGAGGTTCTCAGCAACACTGCAAGGAGAAGGTTCTCCCAGTTCACCAAGCAGGCTGTGACTCGGCTCTGGGACTGGGAGAAACTCCTGCGCCTGCAACAAAAGAAACAAACAAACACAGAGGGCCCTGCTCAAACGGTGAACAATGAATCAGAGCTTCTTTACATATGGTTAATGATATTGAGGTACCTGTGAATGTGGATAGCTGCTAACTAGGCTGTTGATGCTGGAGCAACGACTCGGAGGCTTCCAAGAAAAAGCTGGCGAGCAGGTTCCTAGTGTTCGCCTTTGACATCAGGGGATATCCAATATCAGGATAACACGCATGATATAAACAGAACTGATAGAGCTACAGATAAACTAAGAGAAATACTTAAATCCAAAAGATTCTACAGGTAAAACAGAAACTACAACATGGCCATGCTATATGTCTGCAATTATTTGGCCTTTTGGAGCACTAAGAAAGAATTACTATAATCAATATTCAGACAGCTTTACTGGTTTAGCTTTTTTGAGATTTTTCCGAAGTTTATGTTGACAATTATCTCTATTAAAGGGAATTGTTACAGCTTTATATTGGCATTTAAAATACGCTGTCTAAAATTAATACACAGGAGTATAGTTGAGTTATTGACGGCAGTGCTTCTGATGATGAACGTGTTCAGAAAAAGTCTTTACCAAGAAGTCATTTAAAATACATAACTTCTTTCTTTAGAACCATGTCACTATTTCCTTTTAACCAAACTGCTCACAGTTATTGTGAAACACAAATTTGAGTCTGTTTACTTTCATTTCCTAAATAATATGAAACACAACAACTATTTAAGCAACAGCAAACAGAAATAAAAAGTGAAGGTGATTTAGATCAGGCTGGATAAAAGATTTAGCTTTTAGATAACTTTTACTGACCACAGAGTGATGAAATACCATTTGTATCAGCACCCACGCATTCTCAAACACACACCAAGCTCTGTTCACACAAAAAACCTGCCACTGTGCAGGCTGAAAGGTTAATTAAGTGTTCCTTTAAGTTTTCTAATACCAGGAACATCCTCCCTATAATTTTACATTAACTGCAGATAAGTAAAAGTAAGTTTCCCATTACTTTAGGTCATTAGTTCAAGTTAATGTTTCTATCGTTTACCAAAACAAAGCAGAATTTTTCAGCATTGCAGGATGAATAATTGATTTTTTTGTTTTAAATCAAAAAGAGACCAGCAGTGAAAGCTTAAACAAAATGTTGTAGGTACCTTGCGAATGTTGGCCAATCTGCATCAAGGTCGTAGCCCCTGGCAGCCACGTCAAACTGGATCTGGTTGAGCTCATAAAGATGGTTGATTATGTCGGAAGTGAGGTGACACTTGAGAAAAGGACTCCGAGCATAATACCAGTCGCTGCATTGGCAGAAAGCAACCAAAGAAACAAACAAATAAATAAATCCAACACAATACTTTGAAGGACTCACATTTAGTTTTATGTGTTAAAACAATGGCCCCTTTTGCATTACATTTCGCATAAAGGGACAAAATCCCAATGATTATTGTCATGATTTATTAGAATCATAGGTTAAAAAAGAAAAACTATTTTGTTTACAATGGTGCCCTGGTGGTCAGCACTATCACTACACGGCACAAAATGGTCCCTGGTTCAAATCCCAGTGGGCTCTTCTGGGTGGATTCTGCATGTTCTCCCTTTGTATGGATGGGTTGCCATCATGATTCTTAATTAGACCTCAGAGTGAGTGTGAGCATGCACTTTTGTTTGTCTCTGTGTGGACTGCCAATCTGTCCAAGGTGCCACACTAATGTCAGTCATGAAGAACTAAAACTACAACTTTGATGTAGGTAAGACAAGAAGTGAGAGGTATTTTTACGGATCTACGATTACGTTATGTAGTTGTTGCGTTTTCTGTGAAATACAGAAATAAAGCAAAAATGAGGAAGGGAGATTCACATTGTCCGATAACAAAAGCAAGTACACCACCTAACTGGAATGCAGCACAACTTAAACACTAAACCAAGAGGAGATTTTGGGGAATGTGATTCTTCTAATGATCATATGGATGCATACAACAGTCTAAGCTTTCAGTCTTCCACAGGCTTCAGGGCTAACTTCGATCTCCTTGTTGCCTCTTTCATTAACACCATCCTTGCTTGGTCAGTAAATTTTGGTTTACAGCCCTTTCCAGGCTTTTTGTTATCATGACATCTTCTTTCCACTTTGTGATGACAGAAATAATTAATCTCTGGTGGATTATCTACATATTATTATCATCATATTATCCAAGTTTGAATATATTTTTACAACCTAATCCTGACTTGAACAACTCTATTCAGGACTTGTTTGCATAGTGCTTCTTGATTAGTGGTGTTGCCTTTCCCACACTGAGATCACGCAACATTTAAACTGAACAAAAGTTAAATCAAACTGAGGTTAATGAACTGTGATGGATCTGGATAATTGTTTTCCAACAAAATTGCACTTCACTTCAACAATTTGGCCTATTTATCATAGATACATTTTTTAGATCAGATTTGCTTTCTTTTTTTACAGGCTAGAATGTACAAAAGAAAAGCCTGGGGTAGTAAAATGTTTTGAGTCCTTCAATAAAAAATGCTTGTGTGTGCATATGTCCTCTGACCTTGTGACCTTCTGATTTATGAGACACTGCTGGAGAGTGTCAGCCAGACGCTGGTGCACAAGAGAATAGCGAATGAAGGCCCGTCCTTTCCCCAGTGATGTCTTCAGCTGAGGACACACAGAAATATTCACTTTAGTGTTTACTCACACCCATTTGCTTTTTTCCAGATTTTTTCCCCCCACATATTCCAAATTATATTCATTACATCTGTTTTAATCATAGATGACCTTCCTTGTATATGCCTACGTAATCTACAAATTAAGCTGATTCGGACACAATAAAATTACAACAACTTTTCTTTGCTGATTCAGCTTCTTAGCATCTATTCAGGGTAGAGAAAGCATATTTATTTCATTATTATGTTGATACTTGCAGTTTTTGGGAAATGTTACAATTAATGGTGGCAAATCAATAATATCCAAATAATGTCGGCTTAGTTAAAACGTTTTTTTTCAATAAAACCAAACCAAAGATGCTGATTTTGCAAAGTAAAGTGACGGATACAATTTAAATGAAAAAAAGAAGACTGTTGAATCAAGAAATATTTAGTTTGTTGCTTGAAAACTGACTTAGACAATTCGTCACCTGTCAAATTAGTTCCACAGCTTATGGAGGCTTAGATTTTCTCAAAACATAGACACTAAATGTACAATGTCCGTGTTTAATCCCACATTGCCCAACACATTGGCAGATGGTGGGATTTAAGAAAAACAGATCAGCCAGAGAGACACCAGCTGGAGCTGCTGGACTTGTTTGTGGTTGTGACCAATGAACAGAGTACAAAAGCAATGAATACTAATAGATATATTTAAATAAAAGTAGAACATTTGCAGCCGCTGCCTCGAGTGTGTAACTTCTGAAAAAAGACACAAAAAAACCCCTAAAGCAAGAAAAATACCAACTAATAAACTTCTTATGTTCTTTTTTTGCTTCTCAAACAGAAAAGAGTATTTTTGTGCGCATTTGAATGAAGACTGACTTCTTTAGTCACTTCTTCATGACAGAACATTTATGAACAGCCTTCCTGTTAGAATAAAGTAGAGTAAAGACACTTTATTATGGAATGAAATAAATTTTGGCTACTGATCAAAGATTGACCTAATTCAGGGCTGGTTGCAGACTTAATGACTTCATGATTTCCATGTGCCACACATGACAGCACAAACCATTTACAGGAACAAGTTTTGCCTCTTCACGTCAGTGTAAAATATCAGAAAATAATAAGAAAATAAATGTAAAAAGCCTTAGAAAACACTATAATGGTCTTTTATTACTATACCAGGATTAATCCTGTCATTTATCCTCGTTATGAGAGTAGACACAAAACGGACAGGCAAATTATAACTTGTAGTACGATAATAACTAATGAGTCTAAATCAAGCAAGACGGATCTGTAGAAACAAAGAACAAAAGGAGACACCTAAAAATCACTGATATTTTCAGATGTGTTATTTCTTTTTTCTACTGGAGAAGCAAAACAATTGAATTGACAACAGAATCGAGAGTTTTTGTGTGTTGGCAGAAACACAATGACAATCTGTGAAGGCTCGACACAATGGGGCAAAACGTTTCAGAGTGTTATGAATTCTTAACCCAACGGTTAAATAAACTGTAAATACAAAGATCACGTGAAATGAAAGTTAGATAAGCAGCAATTAAACTATAATAAAAAGTGGAACTAATTCAACAACAGCATGTAGCTCACCACCAGGAATTCCCAGCACAGAAAGCGAGGAAGAAACAGTGCAGGTGGCACAGGTGTTAGACAGCAAGTGAATTAGCAGCGTCTTAGTGCTCCTGACAAACCAGAGGATTAGTTACATGCTTCTGCAGTCATTGTGTATTTGTGTGTGTACATGTGATGCGTGCCCTGTAGGTTCTAGGCACTGAGGCCATTGGTGTGTGTGTGTGTGTGTGTGTCTGTTGGACAGGAGGATTACCTCGGGGATGGACTTCACAAAACGGATGCCATCGTTAGCTCCCTTGATCTTAATCAGGCAGTCGCAAAAGTAATCCCAGTAGTCTTTTCTCTGGCCAAGAAAGGTTGTCTTCTCTTTCTGGTCAAACTAAGAGAGACAAAAGACTTTGTTTTAATAAAAGTGATGTGGATCGCTCAGTCCACCACCATATTCTTCACCTCTCAAACATCATGAAATGTTACAAATATCAGCCTTATTTGAAGGGTTTTGCACAGGTCAGTTGATTTTTATTAATGACGAAAAATAGAAAAATATCTGCAAAATAAAAAGTACACTTTAAACTACTGGTCACCAAAACTGTTGTATATGAACATTCAAGGGTAAATAAATAATGTATTCTGCTTTTTTCTTAATCAACAAAATGATAAAAAATAACAATAGAAAAATCAATATACATTGTAATTACTTATATGATCATTTAGGTTTTATTTCTAATACTTTGGATGTGTTGTCCAGATTATATTTATGCACTTTTAATAAAGGGTACCAGAGGGTAACTTTGAAGTGTGGGGCTGGAATTTTTATGTGCCAAAACAATGTACTTCATGTACTAGTTAAGGATACATATTTATAATATCACACTGTCAAATGCTGCTGTTTATATAGAACATAAGATCTTGAGAAAAAAAAGGTTAGTCATCCAAACTACACAAGATTACAACAAAAATGATGATGCGGAAACTTTGGTGTTGAGTATTTGCTTCAGACAAATGGTCAGAATAATAAGTATAGTTTTATCTCACCATTTTTCTTGTTTTTAATCAATGTCTTACAATTAACAAACAACACTGATAGTTATTCATTAAAATCATCCCAAGGTGTTTTTCACACATTTTTCTCACACATTCCTGAACTCTGTGGTACAAAACTATGTAAAAAAAATAAAAAAAACATTATCAAACATGCATTTTAATAAGATACAACACCTGAAGAAGGTATTCCAGTTTATAGAAGAACTTGTGCAGGCTGGCGCTGTCATCTGTTATGGGTTCACCGCAATCCTTGTGTTCTTTGCTCAGTTCAACAACAGCATCTGTAGTGAAGCACACAAGTACATGTCATCAACTTTTACACACAAATATATCCAGCAGCGACAGATAATCATGTTCAAATAAAAAAAAGTTTGTAATATTTCTTAGGTATCAGGTGACATCAAGTCATGCGTCTGCTAAACTACATATGGGGACCTTCTCATCAGCCACGCTTCACATCATAATTACCATGCAGATCTCTGATTATCCTCTGCAACTGCTTATCCCCTAATGATGAGGAGAAGGCCATTGCAAAGACAAGGGTGATGCCAGGAAACTAGGAGAAAGTGTAGGAGAAAAAAGATATGAACTGAAATGATAGCAATTCAAGTCAATTTGTACATTTGTTGAAAGTTCACACTGGTAACCAGTGGATATGATCTAAACTCTATTCTGGGTATCCCTCAACTTTAAAGGGTACACAAACAAAATCTTAGCATTTGAATATAAGAACATGTCAAATCTGTGCCCAGAGGGGGGGCTAAACATAACAAAACAGCGTCCAGCATGACTAATCTCCGCTGGCAAACTGGGAAACCACTCATGAGTAGTACTTTTGCATTAGCTACACTTATAACGATCTTCACAAATCACATTCCCAAAGTATTCAACAAACTGATCCACGGATTAGTGAAGATGACACAGTAACAGAACAAAAGTTGGCTACATTTAGTTACTGTTGAAATTGACACAACACAACAACAGCACGTGACAGCGTAACACAGTTTGCTGCGGCAGCGTCTTCTCAGACCAAAGACACGACGTTTGTATAAAGTCAAAACGAGAAATACCGACGAGTGTCACTTTCAAGCAGCGTTCAAATCCCTAAACGATCCACAAATACCGACTTGTCAAGGCAAACGAGCGTTCCAGGACTTGCACCTGCCTTAGCTATCGATTTCCTGTTCTCATTTCAGTAAGATTTTCTTTAAAAAAATACCTTTGTGTCGCTATGAATGACGAGAAACACATAATTATTAAATTAATAAAAACATTAAGTACGCACATGGTTTGTAAAATTGTGCGGAGTGTCCACAAATTCCAAATTCTGGGTGATACAGCAGAAACCTGCTACATTTGGAGGCGGGATTTACGAATGATTGACAGACCAATGGGCTAATAACCGACCAGCTGTAGCTGAAACGAGTCCAAGTTTGGTTGAGAGGCTCGGGATAAATAAATAGGAGTGAGGTGAGTTGTAAAAGTTTTCTCTCCTTCTTTTTTGGCAATCTTTGCACCACATTTGCAAACAATCAGATACATATATTTTTAGAAATAGATTGTTAAGAAGGAAGCTATAAACAAATATTAATCCCATCTGAGTTAAGTTTTTTTTTCTCTTTCATCTATTGTTGAAATATTTAAATGGCAAGAGTGACATAAGTGTAAGGTATAAAAATATTTAAAAGTGCAGACATTTAACATTTGATTGGTGTACCTGAAAACTTTGTTTTCTAAATGTGATATGTGGGATACGATTGTTCAGTTTTCTATTCCCCATACATTCCCTTTAAAGAAAAATGGATTTTGCATTCCATGGAATAATTCAAACACAGATTTTCAAATAAAAGTACACGATCCAAGATTAACTGATAAACGCAGTTTTGAACCTTACGTAAAGTGTGTTAACAAAACTCCCAAAAGTGTTGCACATCTACCCTAACAGTTTCAGCTTTAACAACCAAATGAAATTCATTTTTGCATTATCCATCCATTATCAATACCGCTTATTCCCTGTTGGGGTCGCGGGGGAACTGGATCCTATCCCAGTGGTCAACAGGCGAGAGGCAGGGTACACCCTGGACAGTCCATCGCAGGGCAACACACAGGACATACAAGGACAAACAACCACTCACACTCACATTCACTCCTAAGGGCAATTTCCCCAATCTCCAATCAGCCTAACATGCAGGTTTTTGGACTGTGGGAGGAAGCCGGAGAACCCGGAGAGAACCCACGCAGACACAGGGAGAACATGCAAACTCCACCCAGAAGGGCCCTGGTTCCCCCAGGATTCAAACCCAGAACCCTCTTGCTGGGAGGCGACAGTGCTAACCACCACACCACCGTGCCGCCCCATTTTTGCACTATGTTTATGAATAGAGAAAAGGAACATGGACTGTCACATGAATATATGAAACTTATACTCTTATTGATGTGGGTGGTGGGCTGGGCGGGAGTTCTGCTTTACCTTTCATACTTAAGAGAAAATCCCAGTTCTCCAAGCCTTTAATGATATTTGTGTCTACAACGCTCAATTGCTAAGCAGTACGACCTTTGTGCAGGTATGATGCATTTCCAATATTGTTTTTAGAATATGGATCACTTATATTTATCCTTTTGATAGTATCAGTGAAAAATATTTTGTTCTAGAAATTTTTAGTGGAGCTAGTTTTCTTGTTGAAAATGTTGGTGCATTGATTTCTTTAAAAAATCAGTGATTTTGTTTTACTTACTATGACTAGAAACCACTAGCAAAAAGCATCTTATTTTGATTTAACACCATAATACTATTAGAATGAACTGGTTTCCTTTTCTAACAAGGTCTTTCTCGTATCTAGATTCACAACCTCCTGGAAGAAAATGGAGAAACCTGTGGAAACTACCACTGAATATTTGGTGACTGATTATTATGACAATGAGTATGAAGATGACAGCTGCAATAAAACGGATGTGATTGAATTTGGAGCAGTCTTGACACCCGTGTTTTTCTCCACTGTGATTATCTTAAGTTTTTTTGGCAACATCCTGGTCCTTATCATTCTTGTCAAGTATGAGAACATCAGATCCATCACCAACGCTTTAATCCTGAACCTGGCTATATCGGACCTCTTTTTCACGACTGCTCTGCCCTTCTGGGCGCACTATCACATCTACGGCTGGACAATGGGGGAGACTGCTTGTAGGATTATTAACTTAATCTTTTACATTGGCTACTGCAGCAGCAGCTTCCTCCTAGTCTTGATGACTGCTCATCGCTATGTAGCGGTCATGAGCCCTTTGTCTGATATTGTTTCCACCACTGGCCTCTCCAGCATCATAGTCAGTGTTAGTGTTTGGGTTATAAGTATCTTGGTTGCCCTTCCAGCATGCATTCATACAAAAGTTATTGAGGACATTAAACCGAACTACTGTGGATTTGTGGAATCCCAGTGGAAATTGTGGGAAGTTTACCAACAAAATGCTCTGTTTATACTGAGTTCAGTGGTATTCATATTTTGCTACTCTCAGATCCTTTGCAAGTTGCTGCGACGTAATCCCCAACGGAGAAGACATAAAACATTAAAACTAATTTTTATTCTAATAATAGTTTTTTTCTTTGGATGGGCTCCATACAACATAGTAATATTCTTACGGTCAGCTTTCGAAAAACAACAGTCTTTTCCCACATCAGAATCTCGTAAAGACATGTGTGAAACTAGCAAAAGGTTAGATTATGCTCTGTACATTTCCAGGCTCCTCGCGTTTTCACACTGCTGCCTCAACCCAGTGTTTTATGTGTTTGTGGGGGTTAAATTCAAAACTCATTTGAAGAAAATGCTGATGAACTGGGGCCAAAACAACGGCGGCAGATCAAATAGACAGAGCCGATTGACAATCACATCTATAACTAGTGAGTAACAAGAGCCTCAAGCGTCAACATTTGCTGATTAGCTTAAAGTAGCTGAGCTCATTCTCTTCTTCGATTTTCAGTATCAGCAGTATCAAACTCTTGTTGCCTGTTACATCGCCCATTGGATAAAAAGAATAACTAATACAACCACTGTCTGTTTGATCAAACTGTGTACAAGCTCAATCAATGTTAATTACTTACTTGTCATTACGGCGTAATCATTATTTATTATTTACTTGTTACTACTTATCATCTTATTGCTTAGTTGGCGTGGCCGTCCAGGGAGGCAGCCTGCCGCAGCAGCTCTGGACAATCTGTCTTTCTTTTTTACTTTGCTTTTTTACATCATCTGTTGTTATAACAAACAAGGTATTGAATTCAAATGTGGACCTTAAAAGAGGATTACACCATTCATTCCCTCGATCATTGTGAGAAATGTGAGATCCAACGGAGCTGATAGCTTGGACTCCTCATGAGCACACAGCGGAAATAGCAGGAGGATAAAATCTTTGTCATCAATACAAGGCCGACAAGGAACAACACAGACGCTCGGCTTTAAGACTACAAACTATTACACCCAGAGGTAACGCTGAAGGACAAGGATTCACATCTATAACTATCATACCGTCTATGGACGAGGATAACATAGATGGTACAATACTGGACACATTTTGGGAAGTCTCTCCACAGCCCAGATGCTGAGCTGAACTGTGTCACATGCCATATCTGAATCCATCAGATCTCTGCTACACTTCAACCTGATTAATGATTAATCTTGTTTTTACAGCATTTATTTAATCATATTAAACACAACTCCACTGACTTGAATTGAGCGCAATTTAAGTAAATTGAGGTGCACTGGCTCTATAGTTGCTGTCTAATAATGTATCTGTTTTCACTTAGTATGGAACTTATTAAATGGAAGTCCAAACTTTAAGGTTTAAAGCCTGGAGTCCAACAGCTTACAACCAGTCAGCACTGAAGACGCCATCCAAGTGACAGGTCACACAGAACTGTCTGATTTCAGAAGTGAAAGGCTGCCAATCATGGGTTTCTAATGAACCAGATATCTTTGGTATTAGTGCAGTGCATTTCACATCACTGTCAATAATCAAAAGAAGTTTAAAACAGAATTTTTCCATTTGCAATTTAGTATTGTTTGTAATTACCAATCAAACTAAGTATTTATGTGATTCAAATGTTCCTTTAAGCTGGGCTTTTCTTTTTATATTAACATTTGAAATGATGTAAGGATTATTGAATTTAACATGTTTCTTTCATTTTTTTGTGCTGTGTCCAAAAAGAGTCAATACGAATGTCTTTGTATGCAACAACATTAAAAATATGATTAAACATATGATAAAAATATATAATTCTTATCTAATTGTTCTGTGATATGTGGCTTGTTCTCTTTTTCATTAAAGATATAGAAGGAAATTATCTGTAAACACAATAATAGTTGAATAATGGTAATTTATACGACTTATTCATGAACACCTCTCAAAACTTCAGGGGGAATGCATAAAAAAAAGGATATAAATATTAACAGCAGTAAGAAATATCACAATTATTATAAAGACAAACATATATATATATGGCACAATCATATAATATATTTAAATTTTATCTCCCGGAAAATGGAAAAGTAGACTGTTGCCATGTTTTCTTTAACTAATAAGTGAGGTTGGAATGCAGATCCCATGTTTTTAATCAAGAAATACTCGTTTGGAAAGTAATTTTTTGTAAAGTTTTTGGTTTCGTTTAAAATCCACAGTGTTCATGTTGATCAGCAACAGCGTAGTGTTGAAATGAAGATATCTGACACCATTTGAAACTAAAAGAGGAACTTTTGACTCACTTTTCTACATCACAGATTTTTCTACACTTTGCAAATGAGCACAAGACTTGTGGCAGCAGTCCTTCAGGGTAAGCTGGTCACTATATTGTAACTCTGTTTTGCCTACTCTTCTTAAAAAAATATTTTTTCTATGATAACACAGATGTTTGTGAAATTACAAAGAATTTTTACGTTCTTGTCTTCTTTTTGGTTTTGTGCTCAGGTGGGGCTTTTGAAAGATTTACCATGAACATCTCTTCTAGCTACGATGAAGTGTTCAGCACGGAAGAAACTGTGTTTATTTGTGAGACACCTGACTGTTCAACCATCTCCGGTGCCTTTTTTATCTTGATCTGTATCCTTAGTGTTATTGGCAACATCCTCCTGATATGTGTTCTTGTCATGTATGAAAACCTGAAAAATGTCACCAATATCTTTGTCCTGAACCTGGCCTGCTCCGACTTGATCTTCACTGCCACGCTTCCATTCTGGGCTGTGTATCACCTCCACCACTGGATTTTCGGGGACTTTTTATGCAAATTCTTCATTTGGGCACACTTTGTTGGCCTGTACAGCAGCGTTTTCATACTGACGGCCATGACTGTGGATCGTTTCATTATTGTGGTCCTGCACAACTGGCCAAACAACTGTCGGAGACAGAGACTGTATGTGGTTGTTTCCTGCACAGCCGCCTGGCTCATCAGCTTTGCTGCATCCCTGAGTGACGCCCTTAAAATGGAGGTATATGATTCGTTTGGGGTTCACTTCTGTGAAGGCACCTCTGATGTTGGACCCCTATTTTATGTACAAGTATCACTTCTTTTCTTCCTGCCTTTTCTCGTCACTATTTTCTGCTATTGTGCCATCATCAAGTCAGTTTTACAGTCTGCTATTAAGGAAAGGCCTCGAACTGTAGCCGTTGTCCTGTGTATTGTTGCTGCCTTCTTTATCTGTTGGGGACCCTACATTATTTTACTTTTAGTAAGCTCTTTCTATAAACCCATTGCGTGTAAGGAGGTGAAAAGGTTAGCGATTGCCTACAATATTTTTCGAGTACTCGCCTTCTCTCACTGCTGTATGAACCCTCTGCTCTATATGCTCTCACAAAAGTTGCGAAAACATCTGTTACGTCTTGTACGTTGTGAGTTCATGTGGAGGAGGAGAGACGAGCGGGGCATAGCTCAAAACACCTCTGTTATTCAGAATGTGGCTTTTACAGCTAACAACTCAGTAGTCATGTTGTAATTGCGCAATAGTCTCTGCTCAGATGAAGCATTACCTCCTTCTGTACATACTACAATCACATGATACATAGATTTATCATTTCCATGTTTTTTCCGGATGTTTTGCATAACATATTATACTTATGTGGGTTTGCTTCCATAGTGTTTGTGTCAAATAAAGTCTGCTTGTGAAAAAAACAGTAATGACTGCGTATCTGAACTATAATGAACGAGCTATTTGCCATTCAACTCTATGTAGCTGTCTGCTTACCCCTCATCTTCTGCATTAGCGTGCCTGGAAACAGCTCCCTGCTGTTTGTTCTTCACAGCGAACAGGTTTGGAAGAACACATCCGATGTTCTACTTCAGCAACCTTTGCTACACTGCGACTGTGTAATTTGTTTCTTGCAGCACATTCCCTTGATGGATATTTTTAGAGGGCCTTTTGAGTCATAAGAGAAGTTTATTCACCGGGATTGAATAGCTATGTGGTTATCCTTACTACCATAGCTTTGTGTTGGTACTTCACTTTTGTCAAGCCTTCATGTGTGTGCACAGCCCTCTAGTAAAGCCTCAGTTGTGGCTAGGACCTAAACAGGGCTGTTGTGTGTTTCAATTAGCATTAATGTTGGTGTGAAGAGTCAGATCATACATTTTGGTTTTATGGAAACCTGTGTAATTGCGATGCAGTCACTGACCATGTTGCTTTTTGATATAAACATGGATATATAACTTTCCTATGTCATCCCTTTTTACATTTTATTATGTGCACATGTGGAAAACTATGGAGCATTGCAGGATAAGGAGATATCCCCAGCCCTCAAAATTGATTTTAGGGGATAACAGCTGGTTCTTTTCTCTGCTTGGCTCCACACTGTATCATGCTGTTTATAGAGTTGCTGATGATCCTGGGTGCTATCAAAGACTGTGTTGGATTCAGCTATGTGATGCACTATGCAATGTTCATCATATTTGCACTGTCTCACTTCTGGCGTGGCCTGAGCCTTTGTTCCATATGCTTGTTACACAAAGGTTTGGAAGACACCTCCTACTGCGGTGCGCCACTTCAGGAAACAGAAGTAGCAACAGCAATGATGTGACTTCCATGCAGTTCATGCAACTAAATAATGTAAATGTGTGACAACATACTATAAGCTTCTATCAGTAATGCAAAATATTTTGTTCTTAGTATTTTCTTTCAACAAAGTAAAATACACATTGATCTAGTGAGCTCACAAAGTTGATTCCTCCCTTGTTCTTATACTCTGTTGTCTTGTTTCATTTCCCACAAACTGACAGATGCGATAGAATAGATATTATTATCATTTTAATATTTGTAATAAAATAATCTTGTAATTCAATTAAACATGCATACAACTAAAGTGGAAGCATTTTACTTTTGAAAATGGAAAGAAATTCTGATGTTGAAAATCTAACATTCAGGAAACTTCTGCAGAGTTTGAATGATGACTTAAATGACATAAATGCACAAGACGTGACATTTCTCTCATGTGGCAACAGTTCCCTGAAACAGTTTTGCTTTCAGTTGCAAAAGTTGGAACCTTTAACCAGACGAAGTTCCTGAATGCAGCTTCTTATTACAAAGAAACATGCATCGTTTCTGATCAAATGCCATTGAGCAATTCTGCCTTTCAAAAAGAATAGCCAGCACATGACACGCTGAAACAAATGATTGAATCTCAGTGTCAGCTTCAGACTTGTGTTTCTTGGCTGTTGGTCTTTCAGGTAATTCAAAACTATTACTTTACTCAGTTTTGTCTGAAATAAGACACTCCAATTACTGTAAAGAAAACAGCATTGAAGGGGGTTTGCACAGTGGCATCAGTATCACCACTTCTTTATTTATATGAAAAACCAACACAGTGTTTCAGGAATAATCACTTCCTTTTTTTTTCATTATGTAAGGCCTTTTAAGCGTTATTCCATGTAATGTGTTTGTCCAGAAGCCTGTTGGTACTGTGGCATGGTTGAGTAACAGGGCCCTTGTGTCTTCACAGGGGGTCTGGAGAGGAGTGCAAAGGGACAGCTCAGAGGGCCTTTGAAACAGCACTCATATCTCTGGGGCAAGATTAAGCTTAATTACCTAAAGCATCTAACATGCTTGGATGACTGGATACAAGTCAAGGACACCGCATTCATGGGTGTGCACACACCCTCTCTGGCGGGCAGCAGCAAAGGGTTTTGTGTCGATTTCTATTTTTTTGTGGTATGCTGTCATAGTAGGAGGAAAATAAAATCATGGTTAAGCTGTGTTAGGTCTACAGTCAGAAACAATAAGGAGCCTTATTTAGGCTCTGATACTGTTTTAATCTTTAGATTAAAACCTTTGCTGCATGAAGCCTACAAGCTCAACAATTTTACTTATGGTTCCTCATGATGACACAAGTTTAATAACTCTAATTGTGAACACAATTAGTTTCTTCTCCCCCCATGATATGCACACAGAGCAGAGTTATTGCAGATCGCAGAGACTAATACACTTTAAGTATTTCCTTCACAATTTAAGGTCTCCCATTTCTTATCTTTGAGTAAGTGCAATGTCTTTTACTGGATCATTTTCTCAGCAAATGATGTTGTTGTTCGATCCTGTTTTTAGCCACAAGCATAACAGCTGTTGTTGTTTTCATATGGAGTCTGTGCTACTAGCCCTCCCTAGCCTTAACAATTCTGGATGTTCTTCTTTTCTCCGGGGCAACTACCCTCCTCTTCCACATCGATATCTCCTCTTTCATTTCACTTTCCTATAACGATAATTACTCCAACCATATGTGAATTTAATTGATTCTTTTCAAATGCCTGAGTGCGTATGTATTTTGTACATATGTCTAATAAAGCCTTATTGCCCGTTAATCTGGAGTGTCAGGGAAATGCATGCAAATCGTTTAAGTGTGTTAGCCTTATCATCACATACAACTGTTGTGTGGATGTGAACAAATATCCATGCATTAGTCCTTGTGTGGTGCAATTTACATGTTCTGGTACTACACTAAGTCGTGTTATTTTATCCAGCTTTGCCAAAGGAAAACAACATTTAAAAAGAAAGAAAAAATGGAATCTATTATTTAAGACCACCATGAACGTGATCATTACCACAAAGGGAAATACACACACTCACACTCCCATGAAAACAAAACCCAAAAAGAATAGTATTTTCTAACTTTATGTGTATACTTTTAAATCTTTATTTGAGTTCACATGACATAGCATCAGGACCCGCGTGTTTCCACTGCAATTATACAACTGTCCACTAGAGGGAACCTGTCACTGGCCTTATGGAGCTCATTGTTGCACTGGTCTGTAACACAGACTTAAAAAAAGAAAGAAATGACAACAGAGCTGAAATCAACTTAATGGTCCACAGAAGGAGTTCTGTTCTTGTAAATGTTATATTAAGTTTGTTGATTAACCAACTTTATATGCTCCCGGTGTATTTTCAAATATTTACAAAGAGGAACAAATGCAGCCTGTCTCTGCATATTGTAGACAATCAGATCTCTATAACATAGGGTCATCTTCCACGACTTACCTGCTGTTTTCAGACAGAAAAACACAGTGATTAACTACCGTGGAGACTTAATTAACAAATCAAACATCTGGATATTCAGACTGAGCCTTGCTGCCTTTGTAAAGTGGTCATTTGATGTATCTAACAGTGCATTCTGATTCCTCTCTTAAATTTCTCCCATCTGCTTTGTTTTAGCCCAAGCTCCTTCTCTTTGAAAGTTTTAAGTTCCACAGCTGCAATAATTCAATTTTTCAATTTCAGGGAATTTATTTAGTTGCTTTGTGAAGTTGCAGGGATTGATGAACAGCAGGACTGTGGAGAAGAAGACTTTTAGACATTTTCACGAAATACACCAAGGCACATTATGAAACAGGTCATTGCAGGGGTAGACTTAGTCATTTTGTAAACCCCAACTTCTTCTTTTTAAGAAATGCACTGTTTATTTAAGACAACACCAGCATATAATAAAAAAGTTGTCTGAAATTTGTTCAATTAAAAAGAAAAAAGAGTTCTTTACTCCACATATAGATTCAGTCTGATTCAACAAAACTATCTTTATGATTTCATTCATATAAAGTGACAAACAAGAAAAGACACCAATGATTGACACCAATCATTCAGAATCCGCAGATTCTCACTGATTGTGTTTTTACTATTTATTCAAATAGGGTGTAAATGAAAGCGGTGTGTTCTGCTGTCAACATCTAATTGCTTTTGCAGGTAAGAAACACACATGGTTGTACACAAATGACGAAATAAATAAATAAATAATATATATATATATATATCGTTACATACTAGGGAGTGTATGTCACTCATCTTGTATCCTTGATGTAAAAAAAAAAGGAAACATGATACAAGCCGAATCGGAAATGATGATGTACAGTAGCTGTATCCGTGTGAAGCTGAAGAACAAATCAACCCGTAACTTTGACAATGATGTCTAACAGTTGGTGTAAAAATAAGCCATTAGCTTTCATCCAAACTGAGCCCTTGCTATATCTTACTGAAAAGTCTTCCGAAGGTAGCAATGATATTGGAGACACATTCAGCTCTATTACTACCTGTGTTACTTTGATCTTGCCAAAACTGGGAACACAGTAATGGCCTATCAGACCTACTTTGAGATGGGCATTTGATTTTGTTAGTGCAGAAGATATATCAATAAAAGTCCTAGCTTTTGCTTCTACATTCGATTGCAGGTGTAATTTGCTTTGTTTATTTACTGTAAAGGGTTTTGTGGACATGTCTGTCTTGTTGTTGGTGATGCTGTTGTTGTGATAAAATCTGTGTGAAACTTTTTGCTCCTCGGCTAGATTTTATTTTGTGGTCAATTCAGTGGTTTTGAAATTGAATTTCTGATTATATCCTTTAAGAGGAAAGCTCTACAGAAATGATCCCCCTTAAACACTTGCCAGACCCTGATGCTCATAAAAGATTTTACTAAATGCCGTAGATCTCTTTATATTCTTCCTGCCTTGCTTTGATAACTTTATTTTGATCAATAGCATTGTAAACAAGGAAATCCAACAAGTCGGAAGCTTAAATGAAAGAAATTCTCCCTATCTTTTCCTTTGAAGGCTCTAATTATTGACACCTTATCTGAAAACCCTGATTCTAATAATAGGGATTTAAAGGTGTGATATTCTTTCAACTCTACAGACATCTCT